CAGCTCAACACAGTCATACCAATGGAATTGTTTCTTACAACCAATTTCTTAGACAGCACCATCACCATCCCTAGGTTGCCAGCAGTACAGACACAACAGCGCTGGTGGCATACCATCACGTGGTATACCATTAGGAGGGAGTTGTGCTAGGAGTCCTCAAGATTGACTCCAGATCCCATCAAATCTCAAGGGACCAGGCTAAACATTAACAAGGAAACCATCTACTCATTAACACAAATTGCACCTTCCTCAGCCAAAGAATCAGTGTTGAATCAGACAGATAATGTTGAAAATCTCTTGGAGGAAACATGGATAGTGGTAACAGTGCAGAATATAATCTGATGGCAGATTTCAATGTCCATCACAAAGAATGGCTTAACAACACCACCACTCTGAGCTGATTGAGCTCTAATGTTTTACCTGATAGCTCCTAATATTCCCTGCTCACTTGCAAGCATGTCCAGATGAAACACAAAGCTCAGGGAAGTAACGATCCAGGCCTGACATCTATTTTACGGGGTTTAACACCCTGCAGGCCACTGGCCAGTACCTTTCTCGCTGACTAAAATTACCAACCACTGCTTCCATCTTTGCAGCATTTAATTGGGAGGCAATTTCTGTTTATGCACTACTAGACATCAGGATTTTGACAATTTCTACCTTTGTGGCCACCCGTAGCCCCACTCACATACCTGCCTGCAGCTGTGGCCAGAAGCATCCCTCCAGAGTGGTGACCATTCTTTACTTTTAAACTTATTAAAGTTTTTGAGAGCACAATGCAAGGTGAGTACCACTTCTCTATCCCTTACTTGTAACAGCAAGCTGTGGCTCCTTCCATGCTGGAGGCCCTCTTAATGAGGTTCCCAGTGCAAGAACCCACCCATTGAATGCTGAGAAACCCTCTGCTCACACTTCGACAATTCAAGCAAAATCACTGTCAGACACCTGCTCGAGATAAGCCCATTTGACCCCAGCAAGAGTCCTGATGCAAATCAAAACCCGGCCCTGGATTTTTCAATGATGCTGCCAAAGAGTAGCATTTTGATGTGAAATTCAAGGGACAAATAGCTCTGGTACAAACATGGCATTTTTCTTTGGAGGGAGACAGTAGAACATTTGAATTTAATACGCTCATTATGGCAAAATAAACAAAACAGAAAAGAAGGCTATTAACAACCATTAGGGTTAAAAATCATGCAGGAGACAAAGCAAGCACTGAGTGACGATTATCTTGCAACTTTAGACGGAACTTCAAAATAAATTTATAAACAGATATGTTAGGTGTTCAAGGTTAAGTAGAAAAATGTTAGGCACCTTAACAAATCAAAGGGAAATGATTCTGTAGAACCACTCACTACAAACCAAACATGTTGAAGGAGAGGATGAGAGATAACAGAGTATATAGAAAAGAACTATTCTTCCCAGTAAGTGGGTCAGTAACCAGACATAATAGATTTAAAATAACTTGCAAAATATCTAGGAGGCTTATGAGGACTGTTTCCATTTAGACTGCTGTCAAACTCTATCAAGCTCTACTTGGGATGGTTGTAGAAAATGACTCTATAAATAATTTTAACAGGAAGTTGGACAAGTACTTGAAGATAAATCTTATCGGGTACGGGACAGTAAGTTAGCATGGGACGAAGTAATGACTATCGTTTCAATGAATCAATACAGACATGTTGAGCTGAATGGCTTCTTTCTGTTCTGCAAGTTTCTACCATTTTATCCCAGTAATAAATTGGTGAAATAATCAAACACATGGTAGATGAAATTTAAGACAAAGGAGTGTGACGTGCCCTATTTTTGTAAGGATAATCAGGAAAGACCATGTGTCACAATCCACGTTGGTACTCTTGACACTGTCAGCACTAGAAAGGAAGTTCTGCTGAAAGACTTTGAACAATTAGGAGTTATATTTAAAAAGCAGAACATCACTGGATTATACACATATCTGTTGGCTGTTGTCCTTCTACATGGTAAATGTTGTTTGGAAGGTGTTGTTGAACAATCCAAGGTGAGTTTCTATAATACATCTTATAGATGGTACATACTGTGGCCATGATGAGGTGGTGGTGGTAGTGGAGGGATTAAATGATGAAGCTGCCAATCAAATGCTATTGTTTTGTCCTCCATAGCATCAAGCACAGGTATAAACAGCTGCATGGTTTCTTCTGTGCTATATTATTCTATAATTCTATGATGGAGGAAATTACATGGATGCTAAAAATTATATTGCTGATTTTAATTGAGTGTGGATTTGTGCCAGAGGATAAGTAGCCTATGTAGCAACCATTTAAAAAAAGGAGACAGAGCTCATCTGCATCTTTTTAAATGGGCTAATTAACTTAACATTTGTGATGATGAATTTAATTTTATTTTAATTGTATTTAGTTTAGTTTAACTAAGGAGGAAACTACCTAGGTAAACAGTAAATAGAAAAAAAAACATGGATATCAAGAGGTGCAATTATGCTTGGCAAACCTCTGAATTCTTTGATGAAATTATAAATCCAGTATATCAGGAAAATGCAGTGGATGGAGCACAATGGGCTTTAAGAAAGGCTTTATGGTATCACATGAAGACTACTAGAGTTGATTAAAATATACATAATTAAGTAGTGAATTAAAAATACTGGAATAACAATAGCAAAGTAAGAGTTATAAGCAATAAACAGTGCGGTTAGAAATGGATTGCAAGGCTCCTTAGGATTCAGCTCTGAGGCTACTTTGGCTCATTGCCCATATCAATGGTTGAGATATAGAGTAATATAATCAGGCAATGTCCTGGTGGTATTATCGCTGAACTAGTTCAGAAACACAGGTGATGAACTGCAGGCCTGCAATCAAATCCTGCCTTAACAGACGATGGAATTTGAATTCAATAAAAATCTTGAAGAACCTAATGATCACCAAGTCAACTATTGGAAAAACCCATCTGGTTCACTAACCCCTTTAGGGAAGGAAAATGCTAGCCTTATCTGCTCTGACCTAATGTGACTCCAGACGCATAGCTATGTAGTTCACTCTTAACAGTCTTCTGGGCAATTAGGAAATGGGAAATAAAGGCTGGCCTAACCAGTCTCATCCACATCTCGCAGATGAAATAAAAGAAAATTCACAATTGAAACTAAAATATCTTGTATAGTTAATTCTTCACTATGTCAAAGGAAGCCAATATTAATAACATTCAGGACTGAACTAAAATGTTACAGACAAAATTCAATACTAGTAAGAATTAAGTGATGCATTTTGAATTTTTTTGATTTTAATCATAAAAAGCACAGACTAGCAACAGCTAAGGTATAATGCTGAGTCGTATCAAATCTTATCAAGATGTCAGTGTGAACATTTTGTGCTATATTGAGCAAGTTTGGGGCCAATCTTTGGAAAGATGAATATATGCCACTTTCCTCCAGAAAACTTCAACCACAAACTTATGGAGTTTCCTGCCTCCATGCCCTTAAGGTACTACCTTTCATTCCATGATTTCTGTCAGCAGCCCTTCCACAAATGCAGGTTAAAAAAATTAGTTCCCTTGCTATGATACAATGATACAATATTTAGAGCTTTAAAAAGGATGTACCAGGACACCCTCCCTCCCAAAAACAACACGCAAATTAAGGACATTTTTAGTGTGTAAGTAAACCTGTGTGATTAATAAGAGGTTCTAATAGGGAATATGAACATTATTGACAATTACACACTGGCAGGGATTAGGACCACTCACAATATTGGGAAATTGTGTGGTCAGTTTGTTGGTTAAACTTTGCATTAGGGATTCCAATCTCAACACTGTACTTTGTATCAATTTTACTTAATTTTCTAGTTTGTGTTTGTAACAAATATTTATTGGCAGAATTCTTCACAGTATTGAAGCAAGCATAGTCTTATACCCTTAATCTATGCTGTACACACATGCGGGCGCGCGCGCACACTCTGTATTAAAACATGTACTCAGATGACAAATAAAGAGGATTTTTGTTTTCCATAAACTGAAAAATGCACAACTGATGACTTTTTAACTTCAATTACGTGAGCCATTTATTTTGTGAAAGTAAAAGGAAAAGCAAGCTTTGTGGATAGATTAACAATAATCAACTGTCATGTTATTCATGGCCAAATACAATTCTACACTTCAGTTAGATGATCACTAAACGGGACGAACAAGTATGATGAGTAATTATTTGTACACAGTGCAAAACCCATGTTCTAGAAGTAAAATCTGAAACTAAAAGAATTACAAGCAATAAGCTTAGCAACAATTAACTCTCAAAAGCTAGAAAAAAGTTTTGGTAATGCCAGGGAAAAATTACATGCTGCACTTTGGACCATATCAGAAAATTCTGCAGTAGGGAAGAACCAAATAAGTTCTAAAAATTAAATTACCTTTCCAAGTTTCAATATTTCACTTTAAAAGTTAAAATATTTCAGTCCATGAATAAAAACCCATAAAAGACAATTGTAGTCAAAGTATTCAGTTTTATGATACATTTTACACGGTATTTTACAAGCTCCCAAAAGGGAACCTCAAATAAACTGTAAAAGATGGGTGATAATGAAAAAGAACACCATTTATTAATTTTGCATAGGTTATCTACAGCCTCAGACATTTCTCCAAAGAGAAGAACAAGCCTAGCTTTCACCACACAACGCCACAGGCAGAATACAAGAGAAACTAAATAAGTGCTTCCCGAAGGAGGAGAAACTGCCTGAAGCATCAAATGACCTACTAGAAACCCTTCAGTCATTATGTTTGACGTTGTAATTTGTTAAAGCCAGTAAAGTAATTTTTTTGTTTTAGTGGAATCTTTTGAGTAAGAGATTACAAACATTTTTTCTCTATGTAATTGTATATAGAATACATCATTGGATTTCTTCTTGATCTTCAACAATTAGGAGCTGTAAGAGATCAAAATATATTTCTTTCCAATTAGAAATATATTTTACTACCAATTGGAAAAATTTAGGGAACGTTAAATATTCACAGAACAAGGTCTTAAAAATCAATTGAGAAAGCTTTTATTTAAAAAAGCCACAGGATTGGAACATCAATGTCAAATTTTCAAAGTCAAGAATAAACTAAGGAAAAACAAATTGTTGGTTTAATAAGTTAAAAATTTGAAACTTTTAAAAATTTTTAACACAAGAATAACAACATTTATATTCTATACTAATATCACAAAAGGCAAAGTAAAAACCAAAATGACAAAATCACCAAAAGACTAGGTCCCAACTAAAAATAGTCCACGAATTGTAAAAGCACGGCAACTCGGCAGCAAATATTTTGGTAAAGTGTCAAATTCTCTTTTGACAAATAGGGAAAAAATAAATCAGAGAAGTGTAGGAACGTTGTACCAGCTCTGCAAAATCTGCCAAAGCTTTCTTTTTTTTGCAATACACACTATAGAATCCTCCACTAATTATTGCATTTTATTGACAGCAGCAATCCCTCGGGAAGTCATTTAAAAAGTTTAACCCCTAAGCAAGTCGTGGCTTCTCTTGCCTTTGAAAGTGTCAAGTGCATTGATTACAACTGCATGAAGTACTACCTTCTACCGAGAGTATCTCACACTGCACATTCTAAAGCACTGCTTTTTCCCCCCTTTGGCTTTGATTCGGTGATTCAGACCACTTCAGCCAATCTTCAAGACAAAAGCGACACATTGTGTGTTGTCTCTTCCATTTTCTAACAGTATAAAAAAGATCACAACAAATAGCACAAAGAAAGAGAAATGCTAGTTAAAAAATGTAACCATTATATGGACTAAAAAAAAACCTGACAATTAAAATGAGAAACTTGATTTTTCTTGCATGCATCTAAACAATTTTTAACCAGCATTGGAATTCCGGTCAGCTAGAAACCCCAAGGCTTTTGACACACTTTCACAAACTCACACCTCCTCCTTTTTTTCTACCAAGTCTCCAGAGCTGTTGCTAACTACCCAGCACGGGCTGCAAACAGTACCTGAATAGTCTATTCTAACCATAATCTTTAATTCATTATTCCATGAACATAAAAAAGGTTATAAGCATTAAATGCTGACTTCA